TTTTTTTAGATTTTTCTACCTGGATTATTGAGCATGCATCAGGACATTTCTCTTATTGTTTTCCGTCCCTTTGCTCCACAGGTTTGGTTTTGGCTTGCCTACATCCAGGGCCTACGCCGAGTACCTCGGGGGCTCTCTGTCCGTGCAGTCCATGCAGGGCATCGGCACCGACGTTTACCTGCGCCTGCGCCACATTGACGGCAAGGGAGAAAGCTTCAGAGTGTAAAGCTCCGCCCCAACAAAGAAATCAGTCCAAGCTAGAGCGTTTCCCACCTCTAAGATAAGCAAAGACGAGTTTTTGTCCACAGAGGGGCAGCCTTCAATTCGTTTCATCAGTATTTTCTTTGTTCCTTCTTAGACTCATTATAAGCTATGTTAGCTCTCACATTGATGATTTCTTTTTCCTTCGCTGTTTCGTACCCTGTGGCATGTCGTCTCAAAGTCTCTGCGGCTCATGAATTTTTGAATGTTTGAATTATCGGGACAAACTGTGCATGATAGTGGACACTGATGGTAACGATAGGAAAGAGAGAAAGAAGAGCTTTGATTTAAAAAAAAAAAAATTTGTTTTGTTTTTAAGAAGTTGTTTTGAAGTTACTTGTATAGCCTCAACACAGAAACCAAATAGTCGATAAATGTCTCAAATGAAGCTTCACAAACACTCCAACCATGTCGAGATCGCCTTAAAAGCTGCTCACGGGTTCCATTTGGATCATCAGAACTAGTTTCATTGACCTCAGGCTGCATTTTAAACCACATTTCACATCAAAATCAAAGAAAACGACACGGGTTCATCTTCACTGTCCTCGCATCATCATTTATTCTTTCTCCTTTGGTTTATTATAAACCTTTTTAAAGGATCAAACTGTGTGACTCAAATACTGCCAAAATACCATAATAAATACCAAATAATGCTCGTTAACAGCTTCAGGTGTCGTTGTGCTCGGAGACGAGTCGCCCACATAAAGCACATCTGTGGCAGGAAGTCGACAGATGTTCAGCTGCTTTACCGTGCAACACGAGTGCATGCTGGTTTTTACTTTGCTTGAATTCTGTTCGATGCCTTTTACCAGTTCAGACGCTCACCATGTCCGTCACTCGTTAGTTTGTTGTTTTGCACAATAAATAGGTTTCACGTTTTTAAAGCTTCATCCATCATCGCTGTTTTTTTATTTTTTATAACAATTCTCTTTTTGTTAACAAAGTTGTACTTTAAAGGTTTTTTTTGTTTTTATGAGATGGGGTCAACAACAAGGTTACTTGCACTATAATTTTATTTTTATTTGACTTAAGTTGCTAAAAGCTTTTCAGCCAGATGTTGGCTCGATGTAGTAAATATCTCACGGTAACAAATGTCCCAATTGTTACTTCGCTGTTACACATTATTTACCGCAAATTTCTAAGGTTTCAGCCCAACACGATCGATGTGAAGGAGGTTCAGCTGCATCTTTATTTTTTAATTTTGAACTGAATTATGATTGAACTTGTGAAAAGTGAGAGTTCAGAGTTATAGAAGGAAGTGGTGGAGACTAGTTGGCGACTCAGAACCGTGAGAAAGTACAAACTTTGTTGTTGCAGTCTCCGTGTGATCGGTGCGTTCACATTCTGAGCGGCCAGTTTTATAAAACAACGGCCTTTTTTTTTGTGTGTGTGTGTGTGCACGGTTTGCCAAACTGCGTTCCTGGTCATCCACCTTGGCAGCTGCCCATTTTCTCTAATTTAATCTGTTTAAAATGAAGATGAGCAGATTTGGACCAGGTGTTTTTTTTGTTTTAATTATTTATCATCCACCTGGGCGTGTTTTGACGCCCACTACAAGTGTATTCTGAGAGCAAACGTGAGTTTAATCAGGACCTCACACTCCCTCACACCGTTAACTAGTCTGAGCCCAGTGAGACGCCATCTTCACAAAGTTTTCATACTCCCATCTACCTGACCGGATTGTTTGTCTCAAAGCGACTTAAGTTGGCAACTGTGGTCTGACTGCACAGAAGTGCCATAAACAAACTGTTCACATCGAAGTTTTTAGTGGCACTAAAATCACACTGTTTGCCGCAATGAGCACTACTCCCATTTTTTTTTTAACATTTCCCAGAGCGCGTCAGTTGTTGCGCAACAGATCAGCCTGATTTGTAACTTTTTATTAGTAGTTCATAGTGTTTGTATTTGCTGTCAAGATTTTAAACTGAAAGGGCATTAGAAGTCTAGTTTATACTTGCTTTTATGACGTTCTTCTCATCTGCATGCCGTTTGGTCATAAAGCGAACTCAAAAACTTTAAACCCACGCATAGTATAGACTACCTGAAACATGTCTCAAATACTGATTTTGATCTTACAAATGAAACATGGCTGCTGTCAAAATGTTGCTTTTGCCTCTTTGTTTACATGTAAACATTTTGGCTTGCGATCTTGTATTTGTAAGATTTAAAACACGAGATTTTCTTTCTCAAAGGCTATTTATTTATCCCCACATGAATTTTTAAAAGATTTTGTTTACATGAACTGTTTCACGTACCTTTTTTTTAAAAGTCCTGAAGTGTAAAATATGTAGCGTATGCATGTGAAGGAGAGGAAAATGTGGTTTCATATTTGTGTCCTAAAAGAGACACAATCCTTGATGATCAGCACCTTTTTATTCCAAACTGTTGAAGGTGAATTGTCTTTTCACAGTGCCATAAAATGAGCACTGTGCGCCCCCTGCTGGTCTGGAAATTAAACGCAGGTTTCTTTTAAAGCACTCGAATATTCTTGTTTTTGTTCAAATATTTTTTCCAGATCAAAATACACCAGAAATGCTGAATTATGTTACTGACTGTGCCGTCAGTTTTTTTTTTTTTTCTTCTTGACCTGTTCTTTTTTTCTGCTGTGTTCGAACTTTATTATATTAAATTCTACCTGGTCAGAATTTTGAGTTGGGTCTTTTCCATTGTAAATATGTATATATTTGAAATTAAGGGTCCGTGGAAAAGTAATGCACCATTAATATCTTACCTGTTGTAGATGGCTCTCTGAACACCCTCAGCTGGAGAGGACTGACACGTTAAATCAAAATAGATTGCTGCCATAAAATTATTCTATAAATGTATTTTTAATAATGCTGTTTGCATTTTAAAATAATTTTATAGAATGTGAAATGTGACAATGTAAAAGCATGAATTAAAACGTCACTATGAAACTGAGTTGTTTAAACATAGTCCAGCTGTTCGCTTTAGAATTGAACGTCTCCGAGCTGAAGATGTTCAAAAGCTTAGCTATAAACAAAACGTAAAATTCATAATCCAGCATAACTTTTCCACAGAATCAGAGCAGAACTCACTTTAAACTGTGTTCATATAGTCTGATGAATACTTTAAAGCAGTGGTTCCCCAACAGTGGTCCATGAGGAACACCATCCTGCACGTTTTAGTTGTTTCTCTGCTCCAACACACCTGATTCAGTGATTTAATTATTTCATCAAGTTCTGTTAATCACCCATTCATTCAAATTAGGTGTCAAAGCAGGAGAACTAAAGCGTGCAGGATGGCGTTCCTCAAGGACCAGGGTTGGGAACCACCGCTTTAAAGAAATGAAAAATGACAAGAAAATCTGTTTGATAAAAAATTAACCAGCTGCCGTGACGTAAGTCACAGAGCACAAAGAATGACAAAAAGAGCAAAAGGCTTTGTCCAGGCTAAGCTAACGGCTAGCCAAACGAGAGGTTTATTTTTTAGGCTTCTTAAGGCTTCGATAGAGCAATTCCTTTAAGATCAATATATAAATAAAAAAAAACAACATACACAAGAAAACCTGAAATAAGAAAATGTCCATATAAATAACTACACATTAGACCCAAAATGCTCATTAATGTCAATATTTGTACAGAACATCCAACAGCTCATCCTCTGAGAACCACATGTTGTAAAACAAATCAAACTGTTGCTGAGGTGCTTTTCTAATAATGTATGTGTTAAATGTGTGTACGGTGTATATTTTGTTGTAGGATGTCAGACAATGAACTGCATTAACCAAATGAACTACATGTTCACTTTCTGTCTTCTTCTCGGTAGAAACGAAAAGAATCGAGCGATTTTGGTCAGTCGTAGTATTTGGAATGTGATAACTTAAAATAAATATTCTGTCCTCACCCAAGAAGCATAAAATGACTCCAAGAAGAAATACGCAAACTTGGAGGACACATTTACATCACAGTTCTGCTTCCAGTGAAAGACGTCGCTTACGTTATGACCTTTAACGAAACAGCAGTTCACAATAGGCAGTACTTCTGTAAGGCAGAACAAAACGTGAGCAGCTTCGTACATTTAAGCATTTTGAGCAGCATCAGTAATTTGATGCTCTCCACACAGGCTCCACGGTCTTTGTAACAGACGGAACGCCACGTTGACGTTCAAGAAAAATGAGCTTTTCTCATAAATTCAATAAAAACACAGTGATCTCAACTAATCTCTGCACTATTTCACAAGAATGAAATGTTTTTTTAAGACTTGCCCACAGTCGAAACCTAAAACCAGTCGCGCTGCACACCGACTCAACTTTTATACGCAGACGCTTCAATATAAACTTTTAAGTGTTCATGAACCTTCTATTCAATTTATATTAAGTGGTGAATCAGCCTTTATATTTTTTAAATCCATACAAGTGCTTGGTGGCTGTAAACTAACGGATGAAAGCAAATAGTTATTTTTGGCACACCCATGTTTTTATGAGCAATTCACTTCGAATGTTGAAAATCCTGATTTAGAGAAAGTAAACTGGCTAAATGTTGCTATTGTGATTTATTTATACATTATAGCTGTTGAAAATACTCTACGCTATATTTGTAAGACAATCTTTGGCTGATAAAAAAAAAAAAACAGCTGGTAATTAGCTTAAGGTAAAAAGGTCATTTTAGTGGAAGTAAAAACGAGCAACTTCCTGAATTTCACCATGAAGATGAGCCGAGATATTCTGAGGCCATCTACCCCCAGACAGACGTTTACTAACAAAAAGCCACTTCAGCAATGGGACAACTGCCACCACTCCAACCCAACATATCAAAAGTATAAGCGATTTGGTACTCTAAGCATATTAGCCCTTTTTCCTCTGTAAACCTTTAAACTTCGTCACTAACCGACTTGTCAGATGAAAAAATCCACGGTGTGAATAAATTATGATTCTTTGTAATATAACAAGACGAGCTGTGAAGCTAAAGGCATCAACGTCCAGAGCAAACGGCACAACGTCTTTAAAGCTGCTGTCACGACGTCACACATTTTGGAGGCCTCTCTCGTGGCCGTCCAGCTGCACCTTTATCTTGTGCAGTTCCTCGATCTCCTGATGGTGGCGCTCCGTTTTGTGGCGCACCAGAGAGCGATAGAAGTGAATGGTGAACATGACAAAAATCACCCCCACTGGCACCATGATGATGGTGGAGGCCAGAGCGGCTTGCCAGCCGCTGTGCGTGGGCGGCGGGGACGTGAGCTTCACCTCGGTCCTGGCTGTCGTGGTGCTGCAGAGCGCTGCCTTTTTGGTCTCGCCCGAGTCCACGGGCAGGAACTTGACCCAGCAGAGGAGCACCACCTCCGCTAAAAACAGCAGGATGCCCAGCGCTGTGGAGAAGCCCCACGCCAGCTCGATGTAGTGGTGCATGCGCTCGTGAGGCGACTCGCTGACAGAGTTCAGGTTGTGGATGTTGCTGACGGCTTCAACGTTGGGCAGGATGCAGGTGCTGATCAGCAGAGCGAAGAGGTGCACCGCCACCAGCACGGTGGTGCACACGCTGAAGGCGATGAGGAGCTCTCTGGGATAACTGTACTGCACCTCCAGCTGCACCTCGACCATGGCCACCTGGAACAGAAACACAAGACGTAATCAGGGGGATGTATGTAAAGGTCATGGATGTTTTCACTTACCAATGCTAAATTAATGTAGAAACGTGTGAAGTCGAGTCTTTGTCTACTCAGAACTTCTGACACATTCAAAATCTGTGAGCTGTGAAGCAGAGGTCGTGGTGTTGATGCTGTGCAGCTGGAAGGATTTTTATGAAACTTTTTTTTTAAAAACTTTTGAACATTAGTTATGACGCGTAACCACGACAACAAGGTGAGTTTGAGACTGATGCGACTTTTAGGGTGGAGCGACGCGTACGGTGGAAAGTACGGTAGTATAATATGGAGTTTTATATGCAGTACTGTAAAAATGACCTGCATCCGTTTAACCAAAATGCATTTATTTCCTGTCTAAAGGCAGCGTGAACGCTCAGCCGAATGACGGCGCTGAAATTAACTGAAGCAGCTGAAGCGAAAAGAACCAAAACACCAGCAACAAACCGAAAGAGGCGCAAGATGACAAAAGAAAAAAAGAGCCAATATTCTAAAACAGAGAAACAACGAGTGGTGTTTTTAAAGGAACTAAAAAGATCCCGCGCACTTGTATGAAAAATATCTCTCAATCAAGGTAAATATTTAGAAAAGGATAACATTTACAAAACATTAAGTCATAGATAGCATCCATCTGCTTTTGATATATGAATGGCTAAAATAGAACAAAGTATGCAGAAGTAGTTGGACTAAAAAAATGTGCTGTAAAATAAAACTATATATATATTAAAAACAGGAAAACAATCGTATGACCGTTGAATCAGCACACAGAATAAATCTTAAGTTTGTAATATGCTGTGCATGCCTGTACAAACTAAAGCTGCACTTATTGAAAATATTACCATTTTAAAGACACACTGATGTTTAAGAAAACAACACACAGGTCCAGTAGTTCCTCAAAAAGGACGCATTACGAGGAAACTAGTTTGAACTAAAAGTAATCCGATAACCCCATAAATGGAACATACTGGTATTTGTATCTGTAACTAACCCTCTTTTAATTATGATTGCTTACGCAGTCACCGAAAGCAATTCTGAAAACAAACCCTAAATGAAATCTTGAAACCATAAAAATGAAATAAACATTTCCTGCTCGACCCGTTTCAACAAGAAAGAGATTCTAGGTCTTTAAAGTTGAGTGATATTTCCTGGAAAACAAAAATTTGCTGTAGTAAAAAAAAAAAAAAAAAAAAAAAAGACTATATTGACACACCATTGCAAAACCTGAGAGCAGCGCAGAAGTCCTGCTGGAGGCCTTCAGTTTGGCTCGGCTCAGGTAGAGTTTCCTCCAGGACAGGGCCTGCACCGAATGGTGGTTCGAGCTGACCAGCTCCAGGTAGCTGCGTCGCACCCAGTCCCTGTAGTCCCCGTTGTCCAGCGGTCGCTCCGACACCCCTGGAACTGGAGAACCCATCGGCACGTTCAGCTCGCTGCTCATGACACCTGGTGGGCAGAACAAAGGGAGACGGTCAAGCCCGAGCAGCTGGGTCGCGTTGAGACTTGGAACTTTTTACATGAAATGACAAATAAACAGCTCGATTTTACTCAAAAGTCCATTTCTCTCTTTCCATCACTAATTAAGAGTGTTATGCTTTTACTCATGTGGACTGTGAAGAGCTCAGCTTTGCACAGATATTCCCACAGCCCCTTGTCCAGATGTTTGGAATATAAAGTCTTGTCACGGGAATGTTTTCCGTCCAAAATAATTTGTTGGCAGGGAGTCGCACTGAACTCAAGCGTGGCTTTTGAGAAAACAGGAAGTTGTAACAATGAATGAAAACAAACGTTTTTAGCAACAAGATCACTGCAATGACAAAAAGTAGTACCTCAATAAAAAAAAAAAGGCTATCAAAGTTATTAAAATGTAAATATGACATATTAAAGCGACACCTTTTAACGGCAAAAATTAAACCCGGTGAGTCAATGTTTTATAAACTGACTGTTTCAGTGCATCTAACATTAATATATAGTCAAAGATCGATATTTTAAAGTTGGCTATTGATTGAGTTCTTAGGAGATGCAACATTTCACGCTAATTTTAAACTAAACGCTGCCAAAATGTAAAATGACATTAATTTAAGTGAAATAAATTGATTTGTTAATGATTTTTTTTTTAAACGGAACATGTTAAACAGTGCAGACTTTTGCTTGTAGGTACTATAATGATATGCAAATTTATTTTACAATTTTTTTTTAATACTTTATGGAAAATTTTAATTGCAGACCTAGAATCGCCTTCTCACTTTAAACAGTCTAACCAGCTGGTTCACGTTCTCTGCTCTAATGTTTAGCCACTGTTTTAATAGTAATTTAAATGATAAGAAATGTGATTAAACTAAAAAAATAAACTGAAATTATTTTACTGAAGAAAAACTCTAAACTTACTAGTATTTTCACAGCAATTTTAAACAAAATGTTACTTAATTTATCCAAAGTTGAAAATCCTAAACACTTTTCATGTTTACAGGGATTTATACCAAATGATTTAACAACAAGCAAAAAGCATGTGCCTTCATAAAAGACATTTTATTTCAAAGACACAAAACAACGTATAAAACAGATTAATTGTAATAACTATATAAATAATGGCTAATTTGCTCATCTAAGCAGAAACTTTAGTTAACATCCTAAACAAAAATATATTTAGTTTTATATCTCTATCAACTAAACACTCCACACCTTCAAGTTGTCTTTAAAATACAGATTTACACTTCTAATAAATAATCTGTCATGGAGGTGTTATGGAGGTTTCTACAGGGGGAAGGATCCTATAGCCTGATGATGAAAACACTTTAATATAAAACGACACTGTATTTGACAGTGTGAATTGGTCATTGAGGTGCATTTGCAAACTTTAGTGGAAGTAGAAGCACATGCACTCAGGACAGGGAGATGATGAAGTGTGATCCAGGAGTTTGCAGCAGCAACAGTTCAGCAGATATCAGCACCTTCTCATGCCACCGTGTATATTTAGAAGCCTGGGATAAGTTGTTAGCAGGATACATTTACCCAGTTCAGCTCATACAAACATAGCTACGAGTGCTGCAATTCACTCAAATTGCTGTCGAGAACGAAAAGCGGAAATTCATATTAAAAGAAACAGAATAACGCCAAATAATAAATGTTGAATTCGTTGCAACGCTAAATGTTAAAAAAAAAAAAACTTGCTTGCTAGCTAACGCAGCTAACATGTTTTTCAAAGCGACGGTTTATTTGCGTAATTTGTTTGACCGACTTTATCGAACTTACCTTTTATCAACGGTGCCTTTTAAAATACACAAGTAAACTCCCGAACAGTCTCTTCTCTCCACGTTGCAAGCCAACAAGCAAAACGCTGCTGCTCGTCGGGACCATCGACGGATGAGAACCGAGTCAACCGTTTCCGGTTCCACACTTCGAAACAGCCGCTTTCTTATTTTCTCCCTCTTCCTCTTCTTTAGCGGTTCAACCACGGGGTCCGACACTTTTCCGTTCTGGACCCACAACTGCGGGATGAATTTCCTCGCTGTGACCTAAAACCGGGTTTCTTTGGCTCCGGGGTTCGGGTGGGAGGATGTTTCTGATTCTGACCTGAAACAACCATCGTTTCCGGTTGAGCTTGTTGCTTTCAAAATAAAAGCACAAGAAAAACGCTTAAAATGTAATTACACTATCATCTATCTATCTATCTATCATCTATCTATCTATCTATCTATCTATCTATCTATCTATCTATCTATCTATCTATCTATCTATCTATCTATCTATCTATCTATCTATCTATCTATCTATCTATCTATCTATCTATCTATCTATCTATCTATCTATCTATCTATCTATCTATCTA